TGTATCAACACAATCTGCATAATAATGAAAAACGTGTTCTACCCATGAATAGATTAGTGAAAGTAAAAAAACATAGGCGTTACTCAAAAATATTGATGTATAACAAATTACCAAAAAGTTTAACCAGCCTACACTATAGCAAATTTAAACGGAAACTGAAGTATTTTGAGAACAAGCCATTTTACAAATTAAGCGAATACATGTCAATGCAACTCATTGAATCGTCATTCTTGTGTAACGTGTAAACAAAATAAATTACCAAATTCTATCACGTAAAGCGTCAATGGAACTAAATTAAGCTATGTAGTACAATAATTTAATTTAACCTTATAAATTTATAAAAACTTTTGTATCCAATGACTTGCCTGTAACGATTGTTATATTATGGTCAATAAATATTTCTGATTTCTAATTTTTCCAAGTTTGCTGCCTAAGAGGATCTCTTGAAAATCTGTAAAAACAAACCAATAATAGAAAAATTTACTACTTTTTGTAATACTTTATTATAATCTACAAAAATCTAAATAAAACCTACAAACCAGTTCGGCAGACAAACCCACATGGTTTTATTAACTTATCGATAGTTATAGTTGTGGCGTTCATCAATATAGTGCAATAGTTTCGATTGCAGTGATATCAGTTTATTTTTATAAAAATTGCACACTTTTGCTGCGAGATAGCAAGTTTCGATTTGACTTATTTGGCCTGTATTTTATATAATATTTTAATAAATACTAGTTATCGATTACATTTAATTATATAATATTCAGTATCGTGTTGAAATTGAGCTAAATATATATATCATTTAACAAAATTCACTACACATCTATATGTAATGATTATTATTCATCAGAAACTGATTTAATTATTAGGAAATATATTTTCGTTAATATATATAACTGGTGTAGTAAATTATATTTAGTTAAAAATAGGTTATTTTTCACTTTATGAACTATAATGTCCACACTCGGTATTTACTTATTAACTTTAAGATATTTTGTTTCGAATATTTATTTTTTGCCAACATAAAATTCTTGATAGTCATCATTCGCAACTTTTAACGTACGGAATTTTATACCTTCGAATAGTTTGTTCTTTCGTAACCTTTGACGGCAGAACATCGTTCGTAAAACATAGCTCATGAAGAACCATATTTATGAACGATATATCGATGTTTGAAAAAATTGATATATCGTTTGCATCCCTAATCGCGCATCGAATAAGTGCCCTATAATAACTCATATAATAACTCATAACTCCCTTAGTGTTATTACACTGCACGGTGGAAGGGCACTGCAGACAGGGTAAACTTTGACGCCCTAATTAGGGACCCCTACTCCCTTTCTCTTATTCCACCACCCTGAATCAGGGCGTAGGGAGCCTGATTCAGGGTAGTAAGGGTATAAAAATGAAATGGAAATTTGTACATTATTCAACTAACTTCACTCATAAACAGCTAACTTCGCAGTTACTACTCACCGACGTCAGCGCTGCTATACATTCTACAAATTTCAAGGACAGGCGGGCTATGCTTTAGTACGTAGTGATCGTTCTCCTGTTCTTAACCTGGTGACATGAAGGTTGTTCTGTAACCTTCATGGATGGGCTTTTACCTGACAGTTCAGTGAAGAGACAAAGTTATCGAGTAACTATGAAATTATAGATACTTAGTAAAATATTCTATTAAAAGTATCGAGTACAAAAATACTAGATATTGAACTAAACCTATTGATTACTACTCAGATACTCGATACTTTTGCGAATCCCTAGTGATTCCTTATAGTAAACCAAATACCTTTTGACGTTTCACATTAATCATTCCGCAATAACTTTGTACAAGCATATTCATACGATTTACAATAACCTTTTAACTAATTCCAAAGAATTATAAAGTTATCTATATTTAATTATAACGTGTTTAGTTTTTTATCGCTAATTAAAATTTGAATCTTTCAAACAAAGCAAAATATTAAAAAATAACCAGTATCAACTTTTTTACTTGACGTCGTTTCAATGACATGTCGCCGCTATGTGCCTTAGTGTTTCGATGATTAAAATTTATTGGTATGCGAATAATCGGCAAAAAGATTCAAATAATCGTTAAAATATTCAAATAATCAAATCATTAATTTTTTATGTATTTGTTTAATTAAATTTTTATTTTTGAAATTCCTTAAATTACATAAATGATGAACAAAACAACTTTATTTTTTTTTACTTTGTCAACGCAACTATTTTTTCTTGCGTCTACAAATGCAAAATTAACATTTTTCTCTTCGGTCATACTACTGCAGCAAGTCAAGAATTAGAGATATTCCAGTTTAAATAAAATACACAGCAGACTAGGTTGTATAGTATAAAATGCCTTAACTGGCAAATCGTTACAACAGCAACTAGTCAATATAATTTTCATATATGTTTATAAAGGGTAGTTACTAGCAAAGATGGAATCCTTAAAGAACGCATTAGTATATATAGAAGAGTTTTCTGAGTAAAATACACGTCACGGTGCATGACCCGTAGTAGCGTGAACCCCGCAAAAGCGCTACGCGTACAAGAATGGAGAAGAATTAGAGTAGCTCTTATCCACCACTCACTACTCGCCTGTGTAGAAACGGACTCTTCGTTACTTCTTTGTTACGTGGTAGAGCAATGCTGCAGTTATATTAGTAGTAAAGTTGTAGCACGAATACGTTGGCTCGCCGGGGAAGGACCACGCTCTCACGGAATACCAGCGTCAAATAGTAGCTTAATGCTGCTGTGTTTCGTATGGTGAGTGTAGAGAACCAGAGACCTTTTTACTGGAAACGAGGCATTCCACTTAAGTCCTCACGGGTGACAACGCATCTGCATTTTGATCCGTAATCGAGGATAGATGTAGATGTCTATGGGCCACAGCAACCACTTACCATCGGGTGGACTGTGTGCTCGTTTGTAATTCTATACTATAAAACACGTCAATCTCGGTTGTATGTTATAAGACCTTTTTCTGTATTAACTGACGAATCGTACAATAACTATATATATAGTCAATTATAAGTTTTGAATTGTGCATGATTATTTTTTCTATAGCACATAAGCTTGATTATACATAGTAAATTATTTTATTGATATCTGTAATGGTGAATTAAGGTTAATAATTCCATCACCTAATATTTCGCCATTGTCCTTTGTGTAGGCAAAAAAACTCATAAACAAAGCCGCGCTGAAAAACACCACTACATAATTTATATCTCCCGTCATTTCGGCAGCTTACTGTGCGTAGTTTTCTGTTTTTGTGTTTGTCTTCTTATTTTTGACTCTGTTTTAACTTTTTGGACTATTTCTTCTATATTCGTTGAAGCATGTGCCCATGTTAAAAACGATGATTGGGCAAAAGTGGTAGAAAAAACAAAAAAAAGATTATGGATTACTTTGAGAGACATTCATTTTGACTGAATTATAGAAAATCAAATAGTAATTAATCTAAACAACGACAACTCAAGTAGTTGTACTGAAAGTGATCGAATAAATTTATTTTTATTCTATTTTCAATCTAAAATTTTTATAATTGTGCCTCTAGAAATAAGTAACTAACAACAAATACAAAGAAACTGATAAATATTGTGTTTTAAATTATCCGTTTTTAATTTATTTTGGTATTATTCAAACCAATCTACAAATGATTATTAACAACAAATAATCGATATCGATTTTTTTAAGAATCGAATATTGTACGTTGCCGTTTTTTGGTTGGGATGCTTGGTACATTAAGTCTGACAGCTGTCAAAATGTATTTCTTAGACGTAGACAGAGAATATCTGTCTACGTTCTTAGATTTGGTTGATTTTCTTCTTTATTAACTGGCTTCACTGGCTCTGGTTTCTAGACCTTCTGAGCCTATCCTTTCTTTAGGAATCATCATTGTGTGTTCTTTTTCTTCACAATATGCTGATGCGTCACATTGCGAAGCCCTTGGGGGATTTTGACGACAGCTCAACCTAGCGGACAGTTGATGACGACAGCCACTCAAGTTCATAACTCATAAGGCGCCCAAGCGATCAAAATAACTTGAGGTTTATATCGACATTTGATGTCTTGCACTTGTTTCGAGGTGGCACGTTCCAGCCTGCAGATACAAAAATTTCAAAATAAAAAAAATCATTTTATAGATCTCAATTAGCCCTTTCGACCTACGTTATTTAATTTATAAACCCGTTTTTCGTTTTCCCAGGAAAAGTAGAAATATAATTTTCAATTTTCCTCTACTTAAAATAGCCATATCTCTTTGAAAAATGATTATTTTTACTTGCGCTAATTTAATTTGCCCGCGTGCTAATTCTTAAAAATATTCAATAATTATTATTGTAAACAATAAAAAACCGTCGTGGCATTTCCAAGCCAATTATTTGCGTATTGCGCATGCGCGACAGCATAAAGGTGAAACTCACATCATCAACTGCAGATCAGCTGATGCTACACTGACACTGCTTATAAATTAATTAACGTAGGTCGAAAGGGCTTATTGAGATCTATAAAATGATTTTTTTTTTATTTTGTAATTTTAATATCAGCAGGCTGGAACGTGCCCGGTCTTGTTTCGTCGTTTTCTCTAATAGTTCACACGCGCGGACACTTAATTCACAAAATCGCATCACTTTTACGAATCAAAATCCACTTCAAACCATTATCCAAGCGACAAAACAGGAGCGACAATCCGTCTACGGCCAAGTTCCCGCCAAAACTTTTCATAGATTTGGTTGACTATAGTAGTCTGCAGACTGCACAGAGTAATAATAGTGTTTCCATATATATTACTATACTCTTTGTTTAAAAATTCTATTTCACAGACTACTATAAGAGGATACCATAGATTACTGTATATATACTAGGAGGATACTATTCTATTTATATGTATATACACAATGCTCTTTGACTATAAAGGGGAATAAAACAAAAACAATACAAAAATATCGATTGATATTAGTGCTAAATATATCAACGATAACTAAATGCTAAATATGAATATTTCCATAGAAAGAAAAAGAACGGACTGTTCAGCTTTGCCAAAAGGATGGCAAAGAGAAGAGGTAGTGCGAAAATCAGGTCTCTCTGCGGGAAAAGTTGACGTTTATTATTACAGGTAATTTGTAATCATATTTATAATTTTGTTCGTATAAAATATAATATAAAGTCTTTTGTGACCGAAGAAATACAAAACCTCTTCCACTCATTTCACTGACTCAACAAGAACTGCTTTGATATTTATTAATTTCTTAAATGAGGAAAAACCCATGTTGTGATTTCTTGTGCGAAGAATTACGCCATTTACGATGTACAAGCTATTTTATAAAGTATATATTTATACTTAATATATGATGAAATATTTTAAAATGTGTTCAGTAGAATGAGCTGCGGGCACGCACATTAACTGCTTTTACAGAAGTATTACAAACACCGAATATGAAACGGTTAAATTTTTCCTCCTTTCTTTTATTATTATTTGTTATATTTCACACAAAAAACGGCTTTTTGATCAAAAAAAAATACTTCATAGCCGTCATTAAGGTTGTTACCTGTGAATTGGTGTAGTAATTGCAGTTTTTTTTAACTATGGCTTATAAACTTATAATACTACTTTATCACATGTTAATACCCTGCCAATAGTTTTTAGCACATTCCCTTGGCACAACTGAATGTGCAGAGGCCTGACTGTGCCTATAGCCACAAAATTAAAAACATAACCAGTCTTAGCTGTCTAATGTCAATTGACTTCTAAATTAATGGATGATGGAAAGTAATAGAACTCTCAAATTTTTCAATTCTCTTCGCCTGGAGCACGCTTATGGAGCTGGCACTGGTTGCAACAGTGTTAGCACCACCAGCCGAACAGCATCTACTCCTCTTGCATCTGTTTTCACCCATGAGGACTAAGATGGAATGCCTTGTTTCCAGTAAAATGGGTCTTAAGGGCTATTTTACATTGGTATTCTGTGAGATAGTGGTCCTTCCCCGATCAAGCTGACCCATTTGTGCTACAATAACTATACTACTAATATAGTTATACCATTTAAGGAAATTATATATATATATATATATATATATATATATATATATATATATATATATATATATATATATTACAGTTTACACAATGTACAACAATTATATGATATAATTACAGTGGACACAAATTTTAACAAGGATTTCCCCTACCAGACCTGAGAACAGGTGCAGCTGAATTATATAAAGTGGCGGTCATATAATTAGAAACACTCAAGTTAATTTTTAGCACCAATTAACTTGATTATAATTAATGTTCTGCTTATCAATCCTTACATCTATTTCTACCAATTTAAAATCTCTCTATTCTCGCTATTGTGCATAATTTGCAAATATTAATAGTATTTCATTAAGTAAAATATTTTTTACTTATTGAAATATTTTATTGATCCGTAGCTGCCATATCAGTCATTTTTTACAGAGTATTTCATATAAAACTTGACATGGAAATGTTATCAATGTTAATAAAACAAAAAAATATGGGGTTAGTCACTACAAATACTTTATTCATAAATTATAAATATTTGGTTGGGTAACTTTAGCTGCATAACGAAAAAATTACTGTTTTCATATATATTTGCTACAAGTCCCTAGTAATACATCTTCAATCTTTTACAAATGTGTCATAAAGTTCATTGATGTTGGGAGTATGTTTATGGGACAATATTTTGTTCACATTGAATCACTAATTCTTTATTTAATACAAATTTGAATAGTTTGCAGTTCACTTCAACCAAATGTCAGTGCAGTTGAACTCATGAAAGTGACCTCACATCCCTAAAAATGACAAGATCTGCATACTTTAATATATCTACAGTATTATTTAAAGCCTCATCTTCGTTAATAAGTAATTAAATTACAACAAAATATCTTTCATGTCATGGTTTTGCAAAAAGTAATTCATAAACATGTCCTCACAAGCTGTGATCTTTCTTGACAAACTTGTTCTTAGGCAACATTGTTACTTTGTCTTATATATCATATTGCTTACAATGTAAAATAGCATTAAATATTTTCTCTACTGATCACTTCAAATAATTGGCGATTGTTTTGTAGGTTCAATTTCGATTGGAATGCAAATTAACTAAAATTTTACATTTTTAATGGGGACATAATTCGTTATGTTTTAGTAACCCTACTGTATCTAATTAGTTTTTCACAGGGCCATTACTGAAGTTAATTTTCATTAATAATAAATGTATTATTTAGATATATGCAAGCACATTCTCTCACTTGGTAGAAGTAAGCAAGCAGTTTTTGACCCCTGATATATTACAGTAGGATAACTTAAATTGAAATTTTAAGCCCCCAAAACAAATAAAGCTGATGATGTTTGACTGATTTTCATAAATCATGTCTAAGAACCACTCCTAGAAAACATGCTTTTATATAAAAAATGGTTCACCTGTTTAAGAGCTACGGTGCCACCGACATACAGTATAGTACATAGCAGTCAAACTTATAATGCCCTTGTTTTTTGTTCGGGGTCATTTAAAATTGGTTCACACTTTAAATTACTAAGTTGAACTAGATGTTTCTAATTATGTGACTGCTACTGCATCTTTTAGCCTAAAAGGTTAAAAATAAAAACTGCCAGCAATTGTTTGTTTTATTAATGAAAGTTGTGAGATAAATTGAGAACATTTCGAGCAAATTCTTATGTCAAACTTTAAATAAAAATATTTGTTAATATTAGAATACCCAATCATTTTTATCGATATTACTCATTACTGTCTAACATTAACATGTTTGTTTTTGAGAAATGTAATACAAAACTCATATTGAATATTATGATTTATTTTATCATTCTCTTTTGTTTAGTTTGTTTTTAAATTACTCAACTAGTAACTACTGTTATTTTATGAAATATTATTGTAAAGGAACCAGACAAACGTTAACTAAGAAACAGAAGGGGGGAATCGAGGCTTCTCTCGATCCGGCCTCGTATAACGCCTATGTTGGGTTCGGGAACAACGTATGTGATCTCCGCAACGGAGTAACACACAAGGGCGATAACCTCTTCCTTTTCAGAAAATAGGTTCAGGCGGGGATTACGGGTCTTCCGAAGTCGTCCCGGTCCCAACGCCTTAATTCTTCGATATGGACTGTATCACTTTAAGGGGAGAATTCCTTGGGAATAAAACAGCAATTATCTTCAAACCGTTCCGTGAGAGAGTAATTACTTTTCCCTATCACTTCCCTATACTTTTTCTTTCTTCTTCTTATTGACTGCTGGTCTTGCACTTTTCCCGAACGATTTGCAACGTCGTCGTTGTTGTCCTCTGCAGGGCATAAATGCCGTGCAGGTCTCGGGCCTCGGGGTGTACCCCTTTACCCGGATGTTCCTCACGGCACACTACAATGTGCCGGTCCTGGGCGCCTTGATGTTAAAGGCGTTGCTATGACGACTATTGTCGCAGTCGGTTAACTTATAAGAGAGGGAGGTTATCTATTAATTGTGTTTAAATAACACAATTATTTGTCAAAGTTGGCCTTTCTGCGGCATTGAGAGGTTGTACTCGGACTCCCTAATCTATATAGGGAGGAGTTCTCTTGGATAAGGTCGCCCGTCCGGCGGCCTTGCATGCAACGGCGCGAAGCCGTTGAGGTGTTCATGTGGCCCGTTGTCGGCGCGGTCAAACATACCGCGCGCCAGCCGGACCACGAATTCTTGAAGGCTCTCTATCTTGAGGTTGGCCGCTATAACGTCATTACGGACGTAGCGACCCGCACCGACTATAGTTCTTAATGACAAATTCTGCTGGGCCTGAAGTCGCCGCTTCTGATGATCGCTCAGGAGTGCATACCAGGCCGGAGCAGCGTATGTTAGCAGGGGTCTTATATAAGTTTTATAGATGGTTATCTTCGACTTTGTCGGTAACTTGGATGTCAGGACAGGACGTAGCATTGCCCGCGCACATCGAGCTTTGCGTATAGCAGAGTCAACGTGCGCAGTCATACGCAGCATCCTGTCAATCCGACATCCGAGGTAGGTCACGGCCTTCTCATATGCGATCTCCTGGCCTCTGAGGGTTAGCGGTGGTGGTAGGTTTCTATAGCGGCGAGTGAGTAGAGCGGTCGTCTTGCTAACATTGACGGCCATCCTCCACTCATCCAACCATGGTGGCAGCAGGTCCAGCAGACGTTGCATCCTGGCAGCTGCTATGTGGGCTCTTCTGGACGACGTGAAGTATGCGCTGTCATCCGCAAACAGTGCTAGTTCGACGTCGTCCTCCCATTCTTGCAAGTGTCCTGCCAGGGTGGGTATGTCATTAGTGTACGCCGCGTACAGGGCTGGAGATAGACAGCTGCCCTGTGGCACACCAGCTGCTATGGTCTTAATTGCGGACTCGGCGTCCTCTACGCAGACGTAGAACTTCCTGCCTTCCAGGAAAGACGCCACTAGCCGCAATATAGCAGGAGGGATACTTGTTTGCACATCTAGTTTATAGAGTAATCCTGTGTGCCACACCCGGTCGAACGCTTTCTCGATATCGAGAAAGACGCCCAACGATATGCGGCCACGGTTGTGTTCGGCCGCAAGCAGGTGCAGCACTCTGGTCAGCTGTGTTGCTGTTGAGTGACCCCTCCTGAATCCATGTTGCTCCGCCCGAAGTTGGATGCACGGGCGGAGACGTCTTAACAGTAATCTTTCGCACAGTTTAGCTATATGCGGTAGCAGCGTGATCGGCCTGTAGTTGGCAGCTCTACGCCTGTCCTTCCCGGGTTTCGGCAAGACGATGACTTTGCCTTTCTTCCAGTCCTCCGGGAAGTGGGATGTCCGCAATATTCCATTGTAGAGCCGACCTATCTCTACAAGGACTCTATTGGGCAGCTGTCGTAGTGCAGCATTAGTAATCCCGTCGTGCCCCGGCGCCTTCCTCGGTTGCAGGCGGGTTACTGTCCTCCGCAGTTCGGCGGGGGAGATAAACCACTCTCCTGCAAGCGGTGGCGCGGGCGACGACAGGAGCTCCTGCACGCGGCTTTCCTTCCGTGAATGGGATTCCAGGAACTCCGCACTTGTAGGGTTCGGCATAAACTGCTCCTCGAAGTGCTCAGCTAGGATATCCGCTCTGCCCT